TTTCCCAATGGTGGTCATCACTATGCAGTGCAAAGCAGTGGATGATCCATTATTTGTTTGTCACTGGAGTTTTATGGTTCAGTGGTATTTAATAGATTTCATCCAGATGAGTATAATGAAATAAATGGGAATAAAGTTAGCCTTAACCGACTTAATCACCATTATATAATGTGTTGGATCCACTCTTAGAATAGATTCATTAAAATGACATAGGGGAATACTGCTGGCTCAGATAACTGTGAGATTAAAATAATAAAGTTTTATCAGGAATATAATGTTTTCCACCAAGAGACAAGTCATAGCTACAGCCTGATGACAGCCTGCCACGAATGATAATGTACACAAGGATCCCAAAGTCAAAGAAGAAAATATGCCTTCTAATAAAACTACTGAAATGAAGCAACTCAGCTAAAAGAGATCAATATAAATAATATGCTTCTTTGCACTGTTTGGGGAAGGAAAGTGTTTTGATATAGAATTTAGCAGTTTGCAAAGTGGCAGAGAAAAATCAGCATTGTAAAAGCATGGGAAAGAAGAAAACTGTATGTAACTGTAGTTGTGATGAATAGGAAAATTATAGTATTTGTTTTAAACATGTCTAAATTTACTTTTATTCAAAAAGGGTCTCCTGCAAAATTGCCACTGAATGTTCAAGTCTGCCTCCCTGCTGTAATTAGAAGAAATGTAGATGTATTTCACTGTTTGAAGTGACATTCCGATTCCCAAGATTTCGCTTCAGCTACTCCATGTCAGACTAGAGGCTAATTATTTCCTCTGAAGCACAATCTTAATAGTACACAGCTGGAAACCTTTTCATTAGGAATAACTAATACTGGGAGGTGAATTACAGGAGCAGTTAATTCTGGGCATTATTGAAATGTAATATTTTTCAAAACCAGAATTGATTTCTATACCTCAAATATCCTGTACTTGTTCTCAAGAAATGGAAAATGTTATCACAAATAGTTTTTAAAATTTCCAACATCACATACAATGAGACTCTGATATCTTCCCCTCAATTGATCCAAATGATACCCCACTCTTCGGAGAAGATTTTTTGCCAGGAGAAGAAGACATAGCAAGAAGAGTGAAGCTGGATACCCATGATATCTGTTATTCTAGCAGAGGGACACTACTGAGTTGGGAAGGTAACAGAAAAAATACTCCAGTGATTCCATGCTGACTAAGAATATGCACTTTTCTTACAGTCCCTTCACCATAACCCTCATAATAATTCACAAAATTTAATTTTATTAACAAACACTTAATTTTTAAATTCAAAATTATTGTCTTCTTGTATTTATGCACTTCCTTCAAAAACAGCATGGCTTAATGACAAAGAATGTCAGGGTCACCACCTATACTTTACCTTTCTTTTCAGAGACATGATTTTCCATGACTGACTGATGTTGATTTCCACACTACCATTTAAAATACATCTAAAATGTATAGATTTTTATTGCATTAAAAAGTTGTTAAAGTATTTAAAGCTATACAGGTACTAAAATGCATTTTCCCTGAAAACATGAGTGTTAACATGAGGTTCTTGAAACATTCACTGTTAACTGAAGAGCCACATGAAAATCATTTCTGTAAATGAACCCAGATCTGGTGGCAGTAAGGGGCAAAACCTTCATGTCAAACATGGACCCAACACACAGAGCTGTGTTTTGCCTTGTATGAAATCTTTTAGTATTTTATGGTATACAGCAGTGGTTCTCAACCTTTGGGTCCCCAGATGTTTTGCCCTGCAACTCCCAGAAATCCCAGCCAATTTACCAACTATTAGATGTTCTGGGAAATGAAGGCCAAAACATCTGGGGACCCACAGGTTGAGAACCACTGGTATATAGCTTCATATGTGAGATAAATGGACAATTTGCAGATTATATGCAATTGTGTGAGTATCTTATCACTGGGTGCTCAGACTGAGCCACTTTGAATTTACTTCTTTGTATCCCAAACAGTTCCAGTAGTTCTATTTTTGTTCATTGTTTTCACGCAGCAGCTCTTTCAAAATCACACAAATTACTGCTGAGTTTGCACTAGCTGTTAAAGTAGAAATTTAGGCTGCTGATACTTCAAAATCTAAGTCCATTATACAACAGCAGGAAAGATATGTATTGACATCTACTGGCAGAGACCCTCAAGCAGCCCATAAGAAACATGCTGAGACAGGATACTGAATTAACTGGGAATTACTTGAGCATCTTATAGATAGACTTTTTATGCTGATAATTGTTGTTTACATTTTAATCCCACCCCCCCAATGTTTGTTCCAGGATAAAAAAATGGCAATCTCCTTCGGTAGAAGTAGATTTCTAGGCTAAACTATATAGAAAATGGGTCTACAAAACAAAGCAAAACCCCCTCATTACAAAATAGCTTTCCTTTTGTTAGTGTAGTTTGTATTTTTATTAACTTAGTTCTTTATATATTTCTAAACTAATCTTACTCCATTCTCAAGAATACAGCAGTATTGGGTTATGCTTGTACTGTCCATCTGGCTAGAAGGAATAATGGTTGACCAGTCACAATTTACTTGCATTTTCAGGTCTATTGAAACTGATTATAGTTTGAACCACAAATTGCAAGAAGCTGAGTCAGCTTCTCTATAATAAAGTTATGATATTATTATATATGGGTTCATTTTATTTCCCTTTATTGTTAACAACTGTAATAAGAGTACATGATTTTTAAAATTAACATTTTAAATACAGTTGTGTAATAATGCGATGAAATATATGTGCATCATTCCATCACACTTTTACTTTCCAGCTTCTCTACAACTGTCAAAAATGCACACTGTTTTTCTGGTGGCATCTCCATCTATTACCTAAGTGTGACCCATTCACAATTTCCTTGACTTCTGATCAGCTTCTCTTACTTTCTCTGACCAGTTTCCATTGCCCTGACTTTCCAAAGACAAGCAACTTAAATGTGAGTAAATTACTCAGAAAGCCTTCTCAATTCAAATTTTGTTTCAATAATGCATTTTCAGGGTGCTTATCAGCAAGCCATGATATTCTCAGTCTCTCTCTCTCTCTCTCCTAAAACATTTCCTATATGAAGTGTAAGAATACTGGCTGCTGCTTACAGAGCTCTTAATATCATGGGGATAATATCTATGAAGCATTTTGAAAACAAACACTAAATATTACTGCAAAGAGATCTTTTAGCACCTTAGAAACTAACTCAGAGAACCAAGTTGGTAGTATAAGCTTTTGCAGACTAATTTCTCAAATGTATTACACCTGAGGAAGTAAACTTAGTCTATGAAAATCTATGCAACTAACTTCATTCTCTCAATTACTCCAAAAATTGGATATGTTTCTAAATCAATTCGTATTGTCATCTCTCTCTTTTGTGAGAGACAACAGTATACTGCCAGAATACCAGAAGCTGTTGGAAGCAAAGGAAATATTTAACCTCGGGTCTCTGTAAAAATGATAAAATGCATTTTCTTTGGGCATTTTTCATAGATTCTTTATTCCATCTCATGTTTAAGATTTTCTTTTTGAAAAGGAAAAATAAAATAATTGTGGGTGAGATCAAAGTGTTTGGAGATTTCAAAACTGTACTTGACTGTTCTGAATTCATTTAAGATGACATGTACCATAACCTATTCATAGTTTGTCTATATAAGATAATATTATGAATTATTATAACTGGATAGTATTGGCTTCTTGTGTTTCTTAACTGCCTTCCTCTAAACCTAGTGATTTATGACAGCTTCCAAATCCCTGTACAGACTAAAATAGCTTCCATTTTAAAGATGCATTTCCAGGATGTCCTACTCTTTTGACAAGAGAAACAAATCCAATTTAGAAGAGAAAGAATACATCCATGAAATACTAGCAGACATAAGCTGACGGGAAACTGAACTGCATGACTAGCGAGGATTATATGCACAAACTAACTATTGGTAAGAGTATTTCTCCTTACCTTCAGTGAGTCGTGCATTTCTCAGTCATGGAAACTGCTGACAGAGTCAGTTTTTAAAACAGAAACTTAAAGTTATTCTACAGGTGACTAATAACAGCTTCAGAATGCTGCTGTAATTTCTATTATAACCATTCATGATAAAAGCAATGACCCTGCACACCATCAACGGAAACATGACCAGTTGAATCCACCCACCATGAACGGAAGAGGTCCATATTTTGTTTCACAAAGTAGAATTCCTTCAGGATTTTCTGTCTATGAGACAGTTTTTACAGTTGTGGTAAACACTCAAGGCAGGAGTTGATAAAATAAACACAATCCGACCACACTGGTGACTTTGGCCGACTGTTCCCCACCCATCCTGTGGAAGTAGGAGGGAGTGTTGAGAGTAAAATATTGCCCAAAATAAAGGGCCATTTGCCCAAAATGAACAGCTTTATCATCATGCTGTTTGTGTGTGCATGTGGGATACTTATAGGTTCCTTCCCGCTAAGAAAAAGCTTACTTTTCAGCAACCTTCTAAAGATGTTCTTCCCAGCCATCTGATACTTCTTCAAGTGGTATTGCAAATTCTTTCTTTTTCTTCTATCACCTAAAGCCAGGTTACTCAGTTAATTATGAAACGTTACAGGATTCCCAATACATGGCTTAGAGCACATGAAAAAGTGCAGGGGACAAACTCTCCTTATTCCTACAAGAAGGTGTGAAGAAAAACTATGTCCTGTTTTCCAACTTCCTGTCTCACTCTTGCTTCCTTCCAGAACCACAACAATCTGTCTGTCTGCTGTCTGTCTGTCTGTCTGTCTATCTATCTATCTATCTATCTATCTATCTATCTATCTATCTATCTATCTATCTAACACAAGAGAAAACAAATCTTGAAAGAATGTGAAAAGAGATACTATTTCTCAAAGGTATTGACAGTGAGAACTGACTGCAGCCCACTATTTTTGGATCAGTAAAATATTTTTGACCAATCTCCTAAGAATGGTAAAACAAATAATTATGCATATTGATTTACTCCCAGATCAAATGGACTTGGATGTTATGCTCACCTGCATCCAGATTGCCGGTGGCTGCTGTCCATCCCATGACTGGGGGTATAGCACCGACCACAGCTCCGACCCATGTGTTGACAATGCTAATTCTCTTCAGTGGTGTGTAACAGCATGTGTATAGGGCAATGTTGAGGGCTCCCAGAGCTCCAGTAAGAGGATTTACACCAAGAGTCAGCAAGGCTATTCCTGGTACTGCACAGGAGATGGCAAAGGAGACAGCAAGGAGAGGACTGTTAAGAAAAAAACAACAGAGAGAGTGAAGATGTCATTAGGATTCAAAACTAATTTCTACTGTCATTATATTTTGCCATATAGCACAGATGCATAAGGCTTATGGGTTCCTGTTTAACAATGACGACAACAAAGTAAAGGTTATTTTTGGGACCATATGTCTACAGCTGTATTCAGGCAGTAACTAATTATTAGGAGGGGGAAAGTACTGTAAATCCCACACTGGATTCATTTCATTTATCTTCTGACTTTTAAGAGGGAGGTTGGGAAACTATGTAGGGATGGAAGGTGGCAGTATGTACAGTATACATTAAATGTATCAAAGTTAACCGTTCATCCAGAAAAACAACCATTCTAAGACATAGCCTTGTTTACGACCTAGTTTTTATTGGTGAAGGAAATCTACTCATACATCATCCCAGTTTTAATTATAATATGTGATGCATTGCACAGACATCTATGTATTCAGAATGTACTGCTGTGATGAAACAGAATTAATGTATCTAAATCCTATACGCTTAAACTATGGATTTCTCTAATGTTCCAGCTTTGGCTATATCAATTCTTGACAGTAGGGAAGAAACTATTTTTAATAAAACATCTAAATGTTTGGTGTGGATTTTTATAGCCCCACACAGACCAATCACCTTATAATGCTTTATATAGAATTGCAAAATAAGCCTAAGCTTGGATGTCCACAGATCTTGTTAGAATGCTGAGAAGGAATAAATGTCTGCCTTCAATTTAACTTTTAATTAAATGGACCAAGCCAACAATTTGATAAGCTGGAACATGATTTTACCAGCTTTATAAACCCAATTGTGGACTTTGCTGAATTAATTTGGTAGAATGAAATGTTAATCATATTTTTTCTTACAAGCCTCTGAGCCAAGAAAGCTGTTTGTATGACTATATGCGATTTTCAATGAGCTCATCCAAATGCGGAACATACAAGATTTGGCCCTAAATTCATACAACAATGCTAACTACTAAGTGACAGAGTTTTATTATGTGGTAGAACTTTATCATGACATCATTTGAAAATGAAGGTCACTCAGTACCTTTTATCTCAGTTTGGAGTTGAGTTGCCTCCAAGATCTATATGAATAGTAAAGGTAGGTTTTCTCTCCCTGCACTGAATGGACTTAGGAAAAGGAAGGGAATGAATCTAGTAGGGGAAGAAGAGAGAGCCAGGCTGTTGGAATACTACTTCAAGATGGTTTTACAAGTTTTCTGTTGCATAAGCATTATATAGTATATATTGTAACAATGAATAAAGAAACAGAACTGCAAAAGAAAACACCAGTGTAAGTTTTTAAAGCACTTCTCTCAACTGCCCTACTAGTGTATTATTATTTATTTATGTATCATTAGTAATACTACTGTTATTTATGATGTGGGTTGGCTATAAGGTGTTTTGTTCACCTTTCAATATTCATGTGGTAAAATGGTTCCAAAGATCATATGCTTTGAAAAGTACAATATGAATGGGTTCCTGAGTTAATACATACAACACAATAGCTATTGTGTGTTATCCAAAGATCATATACCACAAAGACAACTGACTATGAGCTGAAACCACTGGATTATTTTTTTTAAAAAAAAACACCATTACCCCAATTCCAAAGAGTTTCACAGTATCACACAAAGTCTTGGCTAGCGTGCTAGTACAGTAGTGTCAAAATCAGGACCACTGTTGGTTTATGCCCAGAGGCTACATACAGGATAGAAAAAGTTATGTAAGGCCGTGCCCTAACTTTTAAACTATAAATCTCAACATAAATTAGAGGTGTGCAACTGTGGCAAGTCTGGGGGTAATACTGATGCCCTAAGAACACCATAAGGACAACATGGACTACCAAAAATAAAACATAGAAACCAAAGTGGTCAGAAGTTCATGCCAGCTTTTTGAAAGTGTGTACTTAGTGTCAAGGAGGCCTTGCAACCTAGTCACAAGATATACTGTTGCACCTGGAGGCTTTCAGGTATAATCATTCACCCTGTTTTTGGTAAGAAAAAGGTCATTCCGAAGGTGTTGAGTGCCAAAAAACATTCCTGGACGCCATACATTGCCTAATGGCCACAATTTGTCTACCCTTGCTTTAATATTCCTGGAAGCCAACATGCATAAGAGAAATACACCCAAAATATTATTACTCATTCATAAAAAGATGAATAGGTTAATTATGAAAAATAAAGAAGCACAAGTGATGCTATCATCAGTGACTAGAAATGTTTTTTATTGGCTCCAGGCTCTTTCATACAAAGGCAAATAGGAAAAATTACTCAAGTCTTCTGATAATTTGTTTGGCAAAAACAGAAGTGTTGTGGGAAGAGACTACCATGCGTTGCATTGGGGCTTTTGGAAAGCCACTAATGCCTTGCGCAACATAGACTTCAAATCATCTGCCATTCTTTTCTGCTGTTAGTATTACATCAGTAATACTAGCAAGTTTGCTGCATTTGCTTTTTGGTGGCTCACTGGAAATGTGTGGCCTCATGCACACATGTCCTTCAGATATGTTCACATTCTAGAAAAGTTGTAAGAGCCCGAGAAGTGAATATATTAGCAGTTCATAGTTCTGGGTACTTATGGGCGAGGGAATGACTTTGGTCCACCACAAAGCTGGTGCCATTTCAGAGAGTATGTTAGCATTGCCAATAGTGAAAGACTGCTGGGATGTTAAGTTGTAAAGTTTAGGGAAATATTTGTGGCATTCAGCAATGTACTAAACCCAGCATGGTATAGTAAGTAAACAGGGCTTGTACCAGAGATTTAGCGTTCAAATTGCTGCTTATTGGATAGTCCTAGGAAAATTTTCTAACCTAAGTTACTCACATTAAGGATACTAAAAGGACAATATGGGATAATTCTATGTATACTACATTGAGATCTTGGGAGGCATGATAGAACATCAATGTAAGCTACAACTGGTACTGCCAGACTGAAGATCACTCTAGTTTCTTTGTTTTTCATCTAGGTGGAATCTCAGGGCCTACAAATTATAAAGCAAACTGTCTACAAGGGATGGATATAAAATGAACATTTTGTTATCCACTGGCACTAATTCTGCCTATAAAGGGAGACATCTTCTTTTGCACAGCTGCCACGAATATGAATTCTAACATGTTCTGCTAAAGGTAAACATCAAAATGTGAGTTAGGATTCAGTAGCATACTGCTCTCAGAGATTATCTTCAGAGCTTAGTAATATTAGGTAATGAACCATGACAATTAGACTGGACACCCACCCAGCTGGAAACTTAATGAGGCTCTAGGAGCTTTCTTTCTCGCTTAATGTATTTTATAGAAACACAAACAGCATAACAAAGACACAGCAATTTTCTTTCAGAAGCTATATGGTGTTACACGTAGAAAATGTCAAAACACAAACTTGTAATGGTTTTCCTGACCTAAATTATGACAAAAAATCTACACTGTATACAAGACATACATGTAGCATGTTCTGTTATGGTGAAAAAATCCATTAGGAAACCATTGTTTCTCAGCTCAGGCATTGTTTATTGTATTGTCTACTGCAGAAATGTGACTTCAAAAATAGATGTTTCTCTAGCTCTCCTTCACTATCCTCCAAACACCAATGCTGCTAACAACCTTAAACTATATGGAGCATAAGGAGCAAAAGCAAGGGCTGGACAAGTGTAAAAAGTATTTGAGAAAATAAGGATCAGTCTGAGGCTTTGTTAATTGAGGTATGCTTGTATTTATGTACATTCTGAGACATATTTTCTTTACAATCTATATTCTTCATTTTTATGGCATAGTGAAAAATGTTTCAATGCCCAGAGATGGCCACTTACCCTGGCTCGATAGGCAGCAATGGATTGCTTACGTGATCATCTGCTATATAGAACCAGGAAAGTCTGTGCCATTGCAACTGGTATAAAAATACATTAATTGCATTTTCACAATTCAAAGTCTGTTCAATGAAGGACTAACTGCATGTCATGGAAAACCAGTATTCTTAAGTTATGGTAATATAAGATTATTCTGAAGCAAACACAACTACTTAGCTATAGCAGTCCTGACTCATATTTACTAATTCTTGGTATCACTGAACATACTCCAGTGGCCACCATGTGCAAATATACTTTGTTATTGCAAAAGGTGATTCACAGGCGAAGTGCTAATATTAAAAGCTGTTTATGCAGGGAAGATGTAATACTCAGAGCATGCTTTCTACATGGAAAAGGTATCTACATTTTGAATATAAAGAAGCTGCTTCTTGCATAGGCTCTATTTAAATAAACTCCAGAAGTAAGTTTATTTAGTGTCCAATGTCTGTAGGACAGAAAAAGAAGAAGAGAGTTTCCTCTTGGAAATTCAACACCGTCACACTGTAAAGACTACTTGTGTGACAGTGACAGACTCCACAGGGTACAATATGTTCCATTTCTCTCAGCATAACATCTGCTCTGTTGACAAGGTGCAAGCAGGTTTTTCTGTCTGCAGACATAGCTCCAGACCTGATGATCCAGCTGGTGTGTTCTGTCTGCTGCTGCTGATGATTATACCGTTACAACAAAGGTATAATCAGAAGCTATGGGAGCACTCCAATGAGGCATGGATAAGATACATTCTGTATACATGAAGAACTGTGCTTTAAGACAAAAGGGAATCAAAGTCATCTTATAGCCATAAAGGAAGCAAACATGCAAAGCTGCTTGTCTCAGGCACTCCCCTGTACTACCTCCATTTGCCCCCAGAGTGCTCAAGGCCACATACCTGCTTCCTGGTGAAAACAGAAAATAGTATTACTGGTATTTCAAAAAACAGGCTATCTAAATGCATTTTTCCACAATGTCTGTGCTTGAGCTCTTCAGTAAGCTAATGGCTCGTCAAAACACGGCATATGCCAATCTATGTTAATCTATCCTCATTTTTAAAAACAAAGCAAGGATGAACAGTTGAAAACTGTTCTGCAGTATTCAGGCATCTTGCAAGACCACAGCAATGTCAAGTGGCTACCTTTAGGAAG